ATGAACACCTTGCTGGGGTCGTTTGACCCCAGTACTCTTTCCTGCCATGGCAGGGGGTCGGACTAGATGATCTGCTCAGGTCCTTTCTGACCCTACCAACTATGAAAGTCATAAGATACCAACAATTTAAAACAGTTCACTCAGAGGTTAAAAATATGGTCAACTAAGTTGTATAGATAGCTTTCACTGATGTGACTACAGCCTTTGATTCAACGAACAGAAAGGCCCTACAGAAGTTCCTGATGAGACTTAGATACCCACCAAAATTTTGTTACCATCATTAGACTTCTTCACAACCTGAGAGCAACAGTCCTGAGCAATGGCTTAGGAAGGGACCTCTTCACTGTTACAACTGGAGTCAAGCAAGGAGGTGCAATTGCACCAACAATTCTTTCCCATCCATCTCAAAGATATTCCACAGATAGCTGATAGACTTCCATTTGGTGTCAATACCCAGTATTACATGGGCAAGAATTTCTTTAACATGAACCAGTTATGTCCCAAATACAAAATAATAAAGCCTCCATTACTGATCTACAAGATGCTAATAATTGTATCGTGTGTGCCCACTCAATCGAAGAGCTCCAGGTCATTCTTGACTGCTTCTGTGAAGCATGTGAAATGCTTGGACTCACTGTCAGTTTCATGAAAACCAAGATCTTTTACCAACCCAACCTAAACCAGCCAACTGCTCCTCCATACACAATAATTAGTGAACAATCCTTGGAAAACACTGAGCATTCCCCTACCTGGGTAGTCACTTTCCCAAAAAAAATAGACTGTGACATTAAATACTGGATCAAATCTGCCAGTACTGCCATCTCTTAAAAAAAAAAAATCACATGTTCAATGATTGTGACCATCAGGACCCACACCAAACTTATCTACCAGGCTGTTGTCCTTCCTACCCTGTTGTCTGGGTATGAAACTTTGATGAGAAAATTGGGAACACCTGAAAGCCTTGGAATATTACCAGAAGCAAAGTCTATAGAAAATGGTCCACAAGCTGGAAGTACAGAAGAATGATGCCAGCATTTGGACTCAAGCAATCACCACCAGCATCAAAGCCATGTTTTATATGGCACCAGCTCTGTTAAATAGGACATGTCTTAGATGCCTAATAACCAGATCCCAAACAAAACAGGTCCTATACTCTCAGCTCATTGATGGTCACTGCCCTGGAGGTGGTGAAAAGAAGAGATTTAAGGACACCTTAAGGCCAACCTGACAAAAGGCAATATTAATATCAATACCTGGGAGACTTGAATCTTCTCTGATGGCATCGTGCTGTATGACAAGACATCAGTTATTTCAAGCAAACTTACCTTGCTTCAAGACTTCAGACAAAAGGTAAGGATTTTTTTTTTTTTTTTCACCTAGGCAGAGCACATGGGACATTACCTGAGCTAAGCCACCTAAACAAGTTAAAGACACATTTTAACTAAGTTCCTCTGTACAAGCAGGTTTTGATAACCAGAACACATGCTCTTATCCGGGTACTACACACCTCCAGGATTTCTGTGATGGGCACAAAACTGACAACCAGTTCAATCTGAGCATCTTGCTTTGCACCAAAACCCAGACCCCACAGCCAGATCAGAAGCACCCCAGCCCCCCCTCAGGCCGTAGGGAACAGAGCCCTGAGCAACGCACGCACCGGTGCCACCAGCTACCAGACAGACTAAGGGGGCCTGCAGCCCACGGGCTGCGTGCGCACAGGACCCCTGTCCCGGTCGGGAACATCTGCACAGGGTTCCAGGAGCCCCAAGACGAGTACACGGGAGAGCTACCCCGCCCCGCCTACGCCAAGATCCGCCGCTATCCCCACTCCACCACTCACCCCGCACGTCCCACGAGCCAGCCCCGGCGTCCGGACACCAGCGCACCGCCTGCCGCCCCAGCGCCCGCGCCGCCGCCGCCATCTCACCGCCCCGCCCTCCAGCACTGCTAGCTGCGCATGCGCCCCAGCGAGTTCTTCTTTCCTCCCCGTTTCCGCATGCGTTCTGAACCCCAGAACAGCTCGGAGATAAGGCGGGGTGGGGGGGGAAGGGAGAAAAACGCGCATGCGCAGGAGATTGGCTGGTTCGCTCATGCGCCAGAAGCCTGATGCGCGTGCGCACCAAGCTGCTTTGCCCCGGCCTGAGGGGGTGGGAGGGCAGTAGAGCGTGGGTTCTGCGCCTGCGCGTCACATTGGCTGGTTGGCTCAGGCGCCTCCAACCTCTCTCAGGATGACTGGGTGCGCATGCTCTTTGAGTCTGATGTGCGTTGAAAGGTTGCGCATGCGTTTGGAGCTTCTGCAACCCTCACAGTTCACTGCCGTAGGGCTCCCGCGGGGCGGGATGGGGGAAGGATGAGCCGCAGGATGTGATTGGGGGTGGGGCGGCGGTGGAAGCATGTGGGAGTGCAAGCTGCAGTCGGGTGGTGCAGTCTGGGAAGCTGTAGTCAGGTCTTGGCCACAGAAAAAGCTGCTCTTAGTGTTTTGTACGAAAAAAACCAAAACGAAACAGTTGCCTGTCTATAAAAAAAGAGCACTTACAGGGGTGTAGGTTGTAGAGCCCTTGGGGTAAGGACATAGGCAGACAAGGTTCTTTGGGTGAATCCTGTATTTCTTACTAGACTGACTCAAATAGTTGGTAAAATTCTTTGCAAGGTTTCAGGTAAAAAAATACCCCTTGATGCTTCCTCAGTCAGACGAAGGACATTTGAACCTGAAAGCTTGCAAAGGAAGTTTTTTTCTAAGTATTTGAGTTGGTCAAATAAAAGATACTGGATTTACCCAGAGAACCTTGAGAAGCACTACACTAACTCATTGGGGCAGAAGCTTTCCTAAGCTGTGGCTCCCTTCAGCTGCCGTGATTTAACCTGTGCTCGATGACCATTCTCATGGACAATTTGGGACCAGGCCAGCAAGTTACAGCCAGGGAACACCTGGGTTGCCATGTGCCCCTTTTGAAGTTGCCTCAACATTTGCATGGCTAGGTGACCCATGAGAGAAACCGAGAAAGATTTCAACGAGGAATCCCCAGTGCCCAAAACATTTTTCACCTGTTGCAGGTCCCCCAGAAGTGGTTGCAATGGAAGAACTACTCTTTCATTTTCCTGTAGTAAAAAAACAAGTGACAACCAAGAACCGGCATTTTCCAAAGGGGTGCTTCAAGTCGAAAAAAAGTTGAGAGCCACTGGATTGCTCTTTTTGTCTCTCTTGTGTCTCAGTGTCATTTGCTATTTGCCAACTACTACTCAGCTGCTGTATAAGGGTGAAGTTACTATCATGCAGAAAAAATGCTTTAAATTTCAGCCTTGACAAAGTTACAGATCATACATACTAAGGGCATGTGTTACTCTTCCTCCTTCTAGCTTCCCTTGGGTCTGTTATGGTTTCCTTGCCACCCTTTTTGTATAACATTCAGCCAAAGTAGTCCAGCAAGCAAAATGCAGCATGTTTACTATTTCATATAGCTACCTGACTTTGATCACAGTGAGGGTAGGGTCATTTATTTTTAAATTCACACTTGTGTGAGGCAAAAAACCTTAATACAATGAACAAGTACAAACCTTAGTTCATTAAAAGTAGCTCATGAGACAATCTGATAGATAGATTAGGCTGAGCCTGAACTGCAGGTCGTCTCCTCCTGCCCTCATATTTTGTACCTGAAAAGATGCATCTACATGTCAATTGTTTTGTTGCTGTTTGTTCTGCTTATTAATCAACATTTGGATTCGGCAGTTTCTCCATCTAGTGGTTGTTTGCAGTCGGTAGCTCTTTGTAAATTTTTTTGCCTCAAATTCTGACTTATCTCCACACGGTTGTCATTCAGGTCAACTGGGCTGAAGCTCCCTCATGTTCCAGCCAGTCTCTTTGCAGCACATTCAGAAAGGAGGAGCAGCCCTCGGCTGGCAATTTGACTCCCGGGATCCTTGCCAGCCAAGGCTGCTCAAGGCTTCATGTGCTGTACCTGAAAACACTGGAGCTGATTGCGCTAGAGTTAATTGCTTCAGGTGCATGTTCAAGCAGCATGCCCAAGAGCAATTTATTTTGGAGCAATAAGTGCTGCAGTTTATTGAAGTGCTATAATTGCATGTGTAGACATACCCAAGGAATACCAAAACTTCACTGTGATACACTGGGGTGCTTCTACATGAGACATTTCCTGCGGAGTAAACAAATTAGATCTGCAGTCAGTGTCTACACGTACACAGCTATTAGGTTGGAGTAAACTAATAAACTCTTGTACTTGTAAATACCTAGCTGAATTGGCTGTGGCACAAGTGTACTTTGCCTGTCAGCTAGCCCCATACTGGAGCCCTTGGGCCCCAGCCAGCCCCTCCGGAGAATGCTGAGCCAGCTTGAAACAGCCCCAGGTTGGCAGGCTGAGCTCCGGGGCTCCCTGTCAGCTAGGGCTGCTCTAACCGTGCTCAATGTGCTGCAATCCCTGATGCATGTGTAAATGCGGCACCCAGGGGCAATGAACTCTGGCACGACAAGTGCCAAAGTTTATTGCATTGCATTAATGTGCACATGTAGATGCACCAAGTTAGAGTTCAAATAGTTCTCTCGTGGTAAATCATGAGTCTGCTGTTGAAATAATGTGCAAATGTTCAGTAAATTATGACATCACAGTTTGGGGGCAGGAGTTAGATCAGAGTACTGAAATTTCAGAAAAGACTTTTGATATGCAAAGTAAATTTTGAGACCCATCAATAGGTTTGCAAATTCATAGAATCCCATTTTAATCCTTGGTTTCCAGGACTGGAAATTCACAAATTTATTCAGAGTAAGATGTATTATATAAAGAAGCCAGAATAATGAAAGGTATATGAAAAGGGTGGGACTACATATATACTTATTTTCCCCATAATTATTTTATGGAAGATCTGTGAAATAGCTTTCCTTTTTAAAATTTATCCTCAGTATTAAAAATATGTGCAATACAAATAAATATACTGAAAAGAAAAGGCAAAAATATTCCATAATGAAAAGAACAACCACTACTATTAAAAATTCCAAAAAGAAACATCTTTTTAAAAACATTTATTTTACCATCTTCATTGCATCATGCAGGATACAAAAATCTCAATTAGAAAACCTGTGTAACCATACTTAGAAGTAAAATCAAGGTACGTCAGAAAAAATATATATAATTACAGAAACCAAAGTAATTCATTTCTGATTTTGTTTTTGTTTTAATCTCATTAGATTACAAACTTCTTGTAGTTGTGATCTGCACAGAAGAGAAACATTATCCTTTGTGATAAGTTCAATCTTTCAGAATTCATCAAGTCAAATCTGGTGCATGTCACATCTAATATAATTCTAGAGCAACTGTGTGACCTGTGTATACCACAAAAAACTATTTCATACCTGTACATGCCAGATACTGAAATTTAAATCGTTCAATATATTGAGTAAGCATACTTATTTCTGCTTTCAGCTTTCAATTTGCTTAATCAAATGCCATTATCTTTTTTGGTAAAATTATATAAAAGATTCCCCTTAAGTTTAGGTTCCATTCATTAATATTTTATTGTTACACGATAATTATCAAGGGTGAGAAAAAGATTTAAAATAGGAGAATATTTGCAAGGAACATATCCACTTTAACACATAGATCCTTTTATCTTATTTTGTTTAAAAAAAGCGGGGGGCTGTCACTTTTTGTATTTAAATGTTGTGTTTATATTACTGCTTAGCACACACTTAGGGTTTGACCCCTTTCAGCTCTACCCTACTGTATAACATAATCAAATTCTAAGCCAACGCCTACCATGAAAAAACTGCTCCTTAAAATACTTGCCTCACTTAAGTCAATAAGAGTTCAAACAGTGACTTCAGCAGAATCAGCATTCCAACCACTGGTATCACTGATGTCACCACATCATGTTCAATTGGCTTAGATTTAGGCACAGAAGCTGCTGTGTATATACATGCTGGTTTGCATTCTAATTAGAATGCATCAGAGCAGACTTGATTAATCGAGTGTGTTCCACATTCTAATTGGAATGCTGTAGCGTAGCCTCACTGTCATGTGTATAAGCTCCTGTGTGTTTTACAATGGCTGTAGGGGTGCTTTATTTAAACCTTGTCAAATGAGGTTTAGATAAAGCATCCCACAGCCATTTTTAAATGTACAGGGGGTTAATACACGTGACAGTGAGGTGTTTTAATTAGAGTGGCTCTCCAGAAACCACTTTAATTAAAACCCTACTTCCTATCCCTAAGCATGTGTATAGGCAGCCAGAAAAACCATTTAAGATAAATGATTTTCAAGCAGGGTTTCATAGTTCCTAGGGTTGGAAGGGACCTGAGCAGATCATCTAGTCCGACCCCCTGCCATGGCAGGAAAGAGTACTGGGGTCAAACGACCCCAGCAAGGTGTACATCTAACCTCCTCTTAAAACCCCCCAGGGTAGGAGCCTGCACCACCTCTCTTGGAAGTTGGTTCCAGACCCTAGCCGCCCTGACCATGAAATAGCGCCTCCTGATGTCTAACCTAAACCTACCCTCTGCCAGCTTGTGACTGTTATTCCTGGTCACTCCTGGCAGTGCTCGGGGGAACAGTGACTCCCCCAGTGCCTGCTGATCCCCCCTGACTAGTTTATAACAGGCCACAAGATCCCCCCTCAGCCTTCTCTTGTGGAGGCTGAATAGGTTCAGGTCCTGTAGCCTCTCCTCATAGGGCCTGCCCTGCTGTCCCCTGATCA